ACACTCAGTGTGTGTGTGTGTCCTGTCATCACACACACCTCCTGCATCTGTTCTCAGACATTCACATTGTGGGGACCTGAACCCAAACGGGAGTCGAGTCCCCACAAGGTGAAAGAGGACACGTCAGGATTCAGACTTGGTTTCTGGTCATCTCATTAGTGAAGGTGAGGACATTTTGACCTGTCCTCAGGATGAAGGTCAGATTTAGGTTTAGCTGAAGAGTTTGAGGTCCGGTCTTCACAGCTGATACAGACGTCGACCCACTTGTGTGGTTGTTCTCCTGCCCTTCTTCTGAGAGACACCTCCTCTCTGCTCCGCCCCCAGATCGTCCACCTGATGGTCCTGACTCTGTATTTCAGCTCTCAAGCCCCTGATGGCCCCTGATGGCCCCTGATGGCCCCTGATGGCCCCTGAGCTCCATCTGACAGTGACAATGTTCAGAGGGCCATTATCATGAGGTAAAGATCCCTGACGGAGGTCACAGGTCACAGACACACATCAGAGCAGTCATCCCACTCCTGTAAGACTAGAAACTGGTCAAAGACCTGAGGACACTCACTGTACAGGTCAATAAGAGAGTCTCCTGAAGATGGCACAGAGAGGGACGCTCATAAACCAGTGATGTCACCTGATGTGACGGCACCATCAGAGACCAGATGTGATCCCAGAGTCCTCCTGTGTTCAGTGTGGTTCAGTGTTTGAGCTCCACCTGCTGGTGTTCATCACCACCTACACTGATGTTTCCTCCATCGTTCAGATTCACTTCCTCAACATCAGTGAGCTCAGCTGTCCACTCTACAGAGTCACAGGTCTCAGGTCATCTGTCACACTGTGTCTGTGAGTGGCAGTCCTGTTAGAGACAGGGGACCTGTTAGAAACTAACACAAGTGACCAGCTGCAGGAGAGAAACCACACGGCTGCTGCACCCACCTCCACAGAGGAAATGGTGGTTTGAACAGCTCTGAGACAAACATTCAAAGTGTTTGATGATGTCACATGACCAAGAGCTACCATGGGACAAACATCTCTTCAACGGCTCGTCTGTAAGTTCACTCTGTTCTGTCTGAATTCACTCGTTACATCAACGTTTCATACGTTCAGAGAGTGAGTGAGTGTTCTTTGTCTTCAGGTCTGACCTCACTGCTGAGCTGCACAACAAACCAAGGTCAGTAAACTTCTTCTGTCACATCTCAAACTCACTGACTGTGTGTGACAAACACTGAGAGAGAGCCGCCTCTCTGTCTCTCACACTGAGATCAGACAGTAAAACTAAGCAGCGCTGATCAAGTATAAACTGAGGCGTCATGTCTCTCCTCACATGTTCTCAGAAACATGTTTGAACTTCCTGTTTGACTCTAATATGAGATTGTTTGTTGCCAGCCGGCCACCATGTTGCTTCCTGTGGAAAAAACAGACGAGCTTGTGTTACCTCACCCACCAGCAGGGGCTTTTATTGGTCCGGTCAGTGCATTCTGGTAGTTGTAGGTTTTCTATCTGTTGGGCAACAGCAAATGTCACAGCCTTTATTCTGCTTTCTCTGGTCATGTAGCACCAATATGAAAAGTGTCTGTGTCTCTGCAGAGACAGCTCAGTTTGATGAGAGGACCATCTTTCCAGCAGTGACACACTTGTTTCAGACTTCAGACCAGTGTTCATGGTGACATCTATATTAGATTTAGTCTTGAGACAATAATGTTTATTAGTTTTCTGAAATTGAACATAGATCTACGTTTAGATTGTTATCGTCTTTTTTTCCGTTGTTGAAAAAGGTCGTTGACGAAACATTTTTGTCAGTTTTCATCGGTGACATTAACACTGCTTCAGACTGACAACGACACAAAGACACAGGTTGAGAGGTTGATGGGGAGTCTGTCTGTCCTCCTCCTGTGTCTGCACAAAGTCTAAATACCACCTCAGAGTTTGTGCTCCATGGCCAACATTGACAGGATCAGTTTTATCTGAGGGTTTCTCTTCCTGTCAGACAGAACTTTGGGCACAGACTGTAACATGCTGCATTTAGAAAAAGCTGCAGTTGTGTTTGGACATGATGCTTCACATTGGTCCAGTGTTTGGTCTGCAAGGAAAGGACCAGTTTGTGTCCTCACATGGAATGAAGGACACATTAGACGTTACATTAATCACATGATGTTGGACACAAACACAAACTGAAATCTGTCAGTGGCTTCAGCTTTTAATGTGTCTATCCTCCTCCTCCTCCCTGCAGCCTCTCTGACTGTGAGTCCCAGCAGCTCTCAGATATTAAAAAAAAAGTCTGTCTCTCTGAGCTGTGAGGAGGACGACAGCTCTGCTGGATGGACTCTGAGGAGGAACACAAGCAATGAAACCAGAGTGGCGTGTCACGACTGGGGAACACCTGCTGGTTCTTCCTGTTACATCAGCTACACAACCATTCTGGACAGTGGAGTTTACTGGTGTGAGTCCAGAGAGGGAGCAACCAGTAAGAGCATCAACATCAGTGTCACTGGTAAGATCAGACTGTGGAGTCAGTGTTGATGAAGCTGTGTGTAAATGGATGAAATGCTGTAGTTTGTCTCTGTGTTGAGGTGGATCAGTGATCCTGCAGAGTCCTGTCCTCCCTGTGATGGAGGGACATGATGTCACTCTGCACTGTAAAACAAAGACGTCCTCCAACCTCCCAGCTGCTTTCTATAAAGATGGCTCCTTCATCAGGACTGAGCCTGCAGGTCACATGACCATCCGCCATGTAACCAGGTCTGATGAAGGCCTATACAAGTGTAACATCACAGGTCATGGAGAGTCTCCACCCAGCTGGCTCACTGTCACAGGTCAGGAGGTTACCTTTGATTTCAGGAGTTCATTCATCCAGATATTCACCTGACCAGGTGGGATTCTCTCTACAGGTAGACCTACAACCACACCTTCACCCACATCTGCAGCCCCGACCTCTGGTGTAACCCCGCCCACATCTGCAGCACCGCCCCCTGACTCAGACCACCTCCACCTTGTGTTCAGATTGCTCTGCCACCTGGTGGTGTTCTGTCCGTACTGCATCTCCACTTTCATCATGGTGTCTTCATATCGACAACGGCCCACAGGTATCAATCAATCAATCAATCAATCAATCAATCACTCTTGTGTTGATGACTGACACTTGTCTCTAACAGAACTCTTTCTAACCTGCTCTGACTGTAGGAAATGACCTGCAAGTCTCCATGGTGATAACCCAGCCCACCCAGGCTGAGGAGGGATTGGATGATGACTACGATGATGTCATCACTGCTGTCACCACGGAGCATCACTTCTGAACTGATGTGAAATGAAACTAAAATGTTTCAGGTCCTTGGTAGATGAGAAACAGTGGAGGACCCAGAACGCTTCCCTGTGGAACTCCACATGTTGTAGTTTGACTTGTAGATGATGTTGAACTCAGGATCTCTGACTCTCTTTAAACTCTTCTAATCTTATAATGTGAGCAGCTGTGTGTCAGGTTCAGTGGAGCCTGAGAACTCAGGGTGACTCAGTTATAGTTGTTCAGACTCTGTTGTGAGTCGTGGTGTTGTTCATGTTAATGTAGAGGTCATGTTTTTAATCGCTTTAGATGAAATAAAACAAAATGATGAGCATCTTTTCTCTCTGTGTTTTATTCTCATGTGATCATGTGGTTTTGTAGACTCGTTCTACAAAGAGGAACAAAACAACCACAAAGATGACGAACAAACAGAAAGAGAAGAAAAACTTCCTCAGAGACACTGAACGAGTCATCTGTCCTTTAGCAAAGATATAAATTAACATAAAAACAACTATAAAGGGAAACAAAACATCACTTGTGTGTGATGAGTTTTGAAAACAGCGAGGACAGATTCATGTTAGTGAACAGAAGGAAATGTCTGACAACACAGCACCGCACTGAGCATGCTCAGTGATCCAAACAACACTGACTGATGTTCAGCCTTTAACAGTGACAACAACATTTCAGCATCACAGGGCGTCGTCATGTTTTATTTAACCAGAATAATCTCTTAACATTAAAAATCTCTTTCAGAAGTGTCCTGGCCGAGACAGGCAGCAGCATGAAGTCACAGACAGACAACAAAATTAAAAACATGCAGCTCTAAAACCAGCAGTATGAAACACAAGATAAGATGACTACAAAGAAAAGCCAATATAAGTGAAGCTATACGCTATAAGTGAACCATAACAACCAGACAAACAGGGGCAACTACAGGGTTAGTAAGAGCGGCTACAATACACCCTGACATTGGCATATAGATGACAGTGTACAAAATAAACAGAGCTTTGAGACGTCTGAGAGGAACCAGTGAGAGCAACTATAAGTCCTTCTGCAGACGTTCCCACACATAATCAACACAGTCACTGCTGTAGCAGAGACCAAGAAACAGAAGCACTTCCTGTTTCTAAAATAAAAACTCAGCTTCAGCTTTTTCACAAATAGTTGAGTCGTCTAACAGAGTCCCAGATATTTATCAGATCAAACACACTCTGTGCTCCTGCCCTGAAGTGGAACTGAAGTCAGGAGATTTGAACACACAGTTTTGTATTAGAAGCTCCTAAGAGCATCAGACAACTCCTCTCTGACGTCACACTGACAGGAAGTAATCAGACTCATCCAGATGACTTGTTCTAGCATCATGTCTTTACAGTCAGTCAGCCAGCAGGGGGCAGCATAGCAGCTTCACTTTGTCCTACAGGGGATCAGTTTCACTGGAAGCGGTTGAACTCACAGGAGAAAACACTAAGAGAAGAAGAGAGACAGCAGCTCCACTGAACGTCACACAGAAACATTCAAAACTGATAAGATTCATTCAGATGACAGTCTGATGTGTTCCTGTCAGACCTGCTGATGATCAAACCTCACAGGTCACATCAGTTCAAACATTTCAGCTGAATGTCAAACACGTCAGGACACGTTCGGGATCTCCAACGACACACATGAAGTTAGGCCGTGATCCAAATACACAGACACACCTGCATGGAGTCAACACAGTAATAAAGACATCTGAGAGCTGATTCACTGTTTATTCCAGATGCTCAACAAGTTATGAAAGGGTTCAAAGTAACAAACATACAGTGTACATACAAGTCAGAGCGTGTCTGTGAAGTGTCGTTAACGTTGAAACATTCAAACCTCTCTGTGTGTTTAATTGTCTGTATCAGTATGTCGTGTGCACCCGTTTCCTAATACAGAAGCAAACTCTACCTAAAAATGTGATTTAATTTAATGCTTTTAACATTTAAAAGGGGACAGCTGTGAGTGGAACGATGGATCGCTTCGTTGTACAGAGAAAATTAAGACAAAGCACAGGTGAAGATAGTCAGCAGACAGTATGATGAAAGCTACCTGTGTTGTTTTTTGAGTGATAACACACGTAATAGAAGCTGTTGTGCACAGATATAAATACAGGTGAGCCTTGAGATTTTGGCTTGACCTCTGCTGTACCTTGAGCTTGAAAAGTTTGAAAGCCACTCTTCTAGATTATGACGCATGCACAGATGGTACTGGTCACCTCGTTGCAGTCTGAATTGCCTCATGGCCTGTCTGAGCCTGCACCACAGACTCAAGCTGGGGCTAGTTAGGAACACAAAAATGTCAACATGATGTAAATCTCGTACTTCAAGCCACTGAGATATCTGAGTCAGGAGTGACCTGACTGGTGCGCTTGCTTTGGTTTGATGCCGTGCGCTATCTTTTGTTGTGGTGTGTGTTCAGTACAGGCTCTGAAGGGTGAACTGCAGAATCACAATCCTCTTTACTCTGTTCAGTGACACAAAGTTCATTTCCATTGTTTCCATTGAAAGCAAACAGTGTGACAAACAAAACCTTTTGATTTCCCGGCAAGGCAACAGCGACCTTCCTACCTATGCTGCGCCCAAGATACCAGCACAACAGCGCCTAACGTACACATCGTTCATAAAAATTAACATCTGGTTAGATAAAGAACATTCTGGCTCTTACAACAGGTTTATACATTGAATTGTAAAGCCTTGTTTCCACCAAACCCTACAAATATATTTACATAAATACAAATATTTAAATTAGTACAGAATAAAATGAAATAAAATCCAAACAAATATAAACAGTTACTTCCTGAATATATTACTGGTTGTAAACTAAACGTAGCGAGGGGGGTCGAGGACTGGTTAGTGTCAGAGCCCCCGTCTAGGACGAAACAACCAACATCCAGGAACACATCAGGAACTTGGTGCCCAAAGATGAGCTGCTACATGTAAGTGAATACCTCAGGCAGCAGAAGAGGAGGATGAACCATCATCACGCCATGTACCATCAACAGTCCTAGTAGTGTTTAGAAGAGGCCGGACTGACAGACGGCACAGAGGCACTAACCATGGCAGCACAGGAACAGGAACTCAGTACCAGGTCAACAGAAGCAGACGTCTACCACAGCAGACAGGACCCCAGGTGCAGGCTGAGCAGAGATGCTCCTGAGACAGTTCAGCACATAACAGCAGGGGGTAAGATGCAGGCAGGAGGAGCGCACAATCAGACATCATGTTGATGGACAAACAACAGAAGAAGGCGGTGAGAGACGACAGCAACATCAGGAAGAAGGAAAAACACCGAGGGCTGAAAGAGGGGCTGAAAAAGATGTGGGGAGTAAAGGCAACAGTGGTGCCAGAGCTAATGGGAGCACTGGGGGCTGTGACCCCAAGGAACACCTGAGACACTGCGCACAACCCTCAAACTCCCAGGCCTCTGGTAGAAGGTATATATACATATATATATACACATATATATACACGCATAGATCTGAGCTTCTTAAAATAAAGGTTCCTTATTTCACTGACTGTTTTATATTGTAGGAGGAAGTGCAAGTCTGTGTCAGCCAAAAGAAGCGTTGCCATTACATGTGTCTGCAGCCGTGGACATGTTCCATTTGTATGCTACATGTAGCAGATATATCAAAACTTTATGTTTCAGCGCTGTGGTTAACGAGTGGTTAGCCTTAAGCACAAAAAAACGTTAGGTTATGGTTTGGAAAAGATCATGTTTCATGGTTTAAAACCTGGTTTGAGGACACAGTCCCTGCTGGCCGAGCTCTTAGTGTTCACAGACGGGCTGTCGGACGTCTTGACAAACATCTGTTACCTGTTACGTCTCCAGTCAGTGCTCCCCACAGGTTTTAGGAACACCACGATGGTTTAATGATCTTTGTATACATACATGAAGATCATAAAACCAGTGCTGATACTACACAGAGTGCCAGTCCAACATATCCATTCTTGTTTCCTCCAGCAGCTGTGCTTCCTACTTTCCCAATCCTTGCACGCTTGTTTCCAGCAGGAGCGTCTCCTTCTTTGTGACCTGCAGAGCACCAACAGGTGAAGAGCAGAATTCATTTCAGTCTCACGTCAGACGTCGTCTCCTGCACTTTGATCACATGACTTACAGTCTTTACAAACACAAACTCACCTTCATCTGTGACTGTCAGCCTCACGTGTTGTCTGCTTGTTTGTTCGGATTTAATTGAAACAAGACACTCGTATGTTCCAGCGTCACTGTTGCTGACGTTCCTCAGAACAACAGAAACGTCTCTGTTCCTCATCTCTGGATCGCTCAGCTCCACGCGACCACGATAGGACGGGTGCTGGTATTCTTTCAACAAGCGCCCGTCTCTGTGAAAGTAGACATAACCTGAAGTCACATCAGGTCTGCTCCACTTCAACAGTTTGAGGTCAGTGGGAGTATCTGCGGGAGCCTGACATGGGAGCGTGGCGTCTCCTGTGGGCGTCGCTGTGACCTGCTGGTCTGAACAAGAAGAGGAGAAATCCAGAGGAAGCTGACGTCAGTTGTGCAGCTAGTTTTCAATCAGCTCCACAGTTTGTTCAGAAACTGATCTGACGACAGTGATAACAACATCAGCATTTCACACACGACACATTCACACACACACACACTGTTTTACACATCTCATGTTCTCATGTTAAATCTGTGACGCGAACCGGGATTTGGTTCAAATGTCATCCGTCTGTACTAAACACTCAATATGCTGAGTGCACAAGTGCGCTAAGTGCGTTCACACTGCATAGCTAAGGGTGAGGAATAAAATCAATACAGAATACTTTCGTGATATTTTGCATGGTGATGTTCTATTGGTCAAGTTTCCATCTTTATACCTCATTACTTTTTGCAAATACACATTTTAATCCAACTTTTGGTCCTAGAATAATAAAATCAGTTGCTCTTTCTGTCCACTAGGTGGTGCTGTTTCTTCCCAGTGTGTTCACCTCTCCAACGTCTGCTGTCTGTCGGTGACTTTAAGAGCAAAGTCCATTTGTCGGCCGTCGTGGATCCACTCCCTCACGTTATCAAATGTGACTTCAGACAGAGAGCGTTCGTTGATTTGATGTGTTTTAGCCACAATACAAAGGGATCAACCTTTCTGTGCCTGGCTGGCTGTTTCGAGGATGTTTGACACAGCACGACGCGTTCAGGACAATTTTTTATTAGCAACAGCCTGCGGGACATTTACGCACTTTTTACTGGCCTCCCAAAAACACCACTGAGAGACGTCAGCTGATTGAAACCTCTGCAGCTCGACTGTGAACCAGAAGAGGAGAGAGCACATGAGGCCAGTCTGAGCTGCTCTGCACTGACTTCCTGTTATATTTAAATGTTAAGCTCCTCCTCCTTGTATACAAAGCCCTGGGACCGAGCTACATCACTAACTCCCTTGTTAACTGTTTGCCTCCAAGAACACTGAAAACATCTGCTGCTGGTTTATTGGAAGAAGATCAAGAACGCAGCCTTTGTCAGTGACTGAAACTCTTTTTACGCTTCACGCTGCTGCAACTCTTTTAAACTCTCACTGGATTTTATGAATCAGTTTGTCACGTGTCAGTGCAGAGGAGGACCCAAACAGACAGTCTGAGTGTCTGACAAAAAGCGAGCTTTAATGTAGCCGATTGAAAACATCCAGCACAGGCAGGCAGCTAAAAGTCCAAATGAAAGCAGAACAAAAAAGACAACCCAACAAACCAACCAGGAAAAACACGACGAACAGGGACGACCACAGAACACACCCAGGATCAAGACAGACAAACTGACAAAGAACAACAGGACAAACTCATGGATATTTACACAGGAAACTAATCACAAGAGGAGACACAGCTGGAGGAAGAGGAAACAGGCAACAGGATGGAGGTGGGGATTGGATGACAACAACGGTTGAGCGGACAAGACTAATACACAACAGGTGTGAAGGGAAGACTCTGGGAACAGGGAGGGACTAACGAAACAGGTGTGACAGAAAACACACAAAGACAGGAAGTGAAACCAGGGGCCTGTATCACGAAGCGAGATCAACCTTTCCTGGGTTACCCAGACCTATCCTGGGTTGACTAACCCTAACAATGGCAATCAGGATAATCGGTATCACGACGCTGGATATTAACTCGGTAACTCAACCCAGGGTTGCTTTATCAAGAGCCGTGAACGCGCACGCAGCGGACCAATCACAATCATGAGAAAAGCGCAGCGTCACTGAGCGTCACTGAGCGTCCTCACAGAGCGTCCTCACAGAGCGCCGTATGTGAGACAAAAAAAGTATTTGTAGTGAGGCTCATAGAGTAATTCTACTAAAATATGAGGAGGAGAAAAGCAACATTAGAGAAAAGGCCAACACCGTGGCAGCTGCAGGAGGAGGAAACATGCGTGGCAACGCATAACGGGATGAATAATGTTTAGTTTTAGTTTAGATTAGTTTATTTGCACATAATGTTAAAAACAGACAGTATAAAATTGACAAGATTAAAAAAATAAAAGTGCCGGAGAGGTTAGAAGCCACTAAAAGCTTATCAAAGAAATTCCCCTGTCAAAACGTCAATGAAATCACATAATACAGAAGAAAAAAACGGGTCAGGAAAGAAGAAATAGAGGAGGAGAGAGAGGGAAAAATCAAGACAAAACAAGGTAGCAAATAAAATTATGTGTAGGTTAAATTACTCATCACTGGTTCAAGTAGCTACAGTACCTGTACCTGTACATCTGACACTGATCACACCCTTGAATCCCATGAAATCAATGCTGCGCAGATGAATTGCGTGTATTACAATTATCGTCTAACATCATTGCGTCTGATAAATTGGTCTTCTTTGTCATAACGTTATATATGCTACAATAAAGCTTAAAGCTGACGCCACAATTAAATCATATCAACACCAAATTGATAGTCTGAATAAAATCATCCTGATATTGAGCTGTGTTAGAAATTAACAGCTGCGCAAAAATATACCTAGTCTCCCTCTTTAAAAAACAAAAAGGAAAATCCCTCAAACACCATGAAGTGTAGACATGATAGGCTACTTTCCACATTTCCAGCAGCAAAGCTGTCAATTAGGCCCATTATCTTTAACAGGGATCATTTCCTCCAACAAAACAAAATGTTGGCACTAATTAATGGTGCTATTAAGTGTCCGCAAATGATCAGTTTCTTTCTTATGAAGGGGTGGGATGAAAGTTCGACTTCTTTCCACTCCTTTTTGAACAATCTTTTCATTGTCTGTTGTTGTTGCTTTCTTTTCTTTTTTAATGTTCAAAATAAACTTTCAAATCAAAATCAATCAAATTAATTAAACTTCCCGTCATGACTGGGCTGCATTTCTGTCAGCGGAGTCATTTTTTTCCGAACAGCTGATTGGCCAGTGGGTGGTGCTTTTTACAGGATCAGATTCAACCCTGAACTTACCCTGCTCCGGAGCAGGATAGCCGTTCAGAGTAAGTTACCATGGTGATCTACCCCAATAAGAACTGAACCGGCTTCGTGAGACCGAAAACCCAGGGTTAACCCTGAAGTTACCTCGCTGAGACATTAATCCTGCTTCATGATACAGGCCCCTGGACACACTCATGTATATTTACACAGGAAACTAATCACAAGAGGAAACAGGCAACAGGACGGAGGTGGGGATTGGCTGACAACAAGGGTAGAGTGGATAAGACTAATACACAACAGGTGTGAAGGGAAGACTCTGGGAACAGGGAGGGACTAATGAAACAGGTGTGACAGAAAACACACAAAGACAGGAAGTGAAACCAGACATGACACATGAGGAGAGAATTACAAAATAAAACAGGAAGCAGATTAAACATGAAACACAGACAGAAAACTCCAAATCAAAGTCCAGAGGATATAAAGACAAGACAAACAGGATCATGACACAGTTGAAGTGTGAAGCACTCAGAGCTGAGTGTAAAGACCTTTGTGCTGCATGTATGAAAGGTTTTTAATTTGTTGTTCGTTAATTTGTTCTCTTACACTTCCTCTTACATTGTAGTTCTGTGGGTAGACGGATGGATAGACGGATGGATGGAAAAACATTTGGATATTGTCTGAATGTAAACATGTCCAGGAGCTGGAACACTGTGCTCACTTGACCGCAGTGACAGAGATGCGTCATGCAGGTGCGTCATGTGGAGACGGCCCTCACACATGCTGCTTCTTTAACCACCTGGAAAACATGAGGTCAGACACTGGAAGCTTCTTTTGTGTCTCTGGGCCAGCTTTCAAGAGCACAGCAACAGGTTGCTAAGCAACCTTAATGGTCACCGTATCACAGCCTGTTTACCTGAAACCCTGAGGTCAGAGCTGATCTACTTCCTGTGTGTCTGTGGGACAGATGAGACGCTCTGACAGCTCTGCACTAACATGATCAGCTCCTCCTCCATATTGATCACACACTGATATTTACTAAGGGAGGAAAGATATCTGTGGGCTGTGATTGGCTGGTCCTCGTCACATGACACGTGGTGTAGCTGTCTTCTCAAAGTGATCCCAGGGTGCAGCTGTCACACCCTGAAACACAGGCGTCGCTCTGGTGTCTGAGCCATCTGCCACGAGTCCTCATTGAAAACAGTAATTTGAGGGCACACACACACACACACACACACACACACACACACACACACACACACACACACACACACAAACAAAGGGATGAAGCAGCAGATCTGGAGCTGGAGTCTTTACAGCCAGTCAAACCTGCTGTATCACACTCAGCTTTAAAGCCACAGTGAAGGTGCTGACATCATCCTGCAGCAGAGGAGCTGAGGCATCGTCTGGTAGCAGCCATGATGTGATGTCTTATCAGACAGGAGGGCAAATAACGCTCTGAAGTTATGCTACATTTTGGCGAGGTGAAAAGAGCCTTGCCTTGTCCTGAATCCCTTCTGCACACTGCTCTATGAACGCTCGTGATGTTACATAAATAAGTTTGACTGTGAACTCACCCTCTGCACTCAGTGTGAACATCACTACTTACATTAAGTCACCCTCTGCACTCAGTGTGAACATCACTACTTACATTACAGTCAGGATTTGATCTGATGATGTCATAACACCTTGCATTAATTTCTTCTGTCAGTGTTTGATTTGACTTTTCTCCAATCGTTTATTTGAGGGCAGAAATAAATTACATGTTGGAATATGATTAACTGGTTTATAACTGCAGGAAGTAAAACATTCTGCACAGTGACGAGTGCAGCTGGTCCTGACACAGCCTCGAGTCTTGTGTCTGAGCTGAGATCACATAAAGGAGCAGTGTGAAGACAGACAGACAGACAGACAGACTATGGCAAGCCGTTTTAACATTTAATCACTAGACTGGATATTCATTACTGATATCTGCAACATAATTTTGCCTAGTCAAAACTCTAATTACAGATATCTGTAATTCAGTTTTGACTAATAAGATTCAAACTATTTTTGCCATTCATGTGTATGGGGTTTGTCATTATAGATATCTCCAACGTAGTTGCGGATATCTGCAATTGTTATTGTAGATATCTGTAATTCCAGTTTGACATATCTACAACTTAATTTTGACTAGTCATAATTCAAGTTCAAGATATCTTTAATTATCATCAGTTGAAGATATCTACATGGTCCTTTCTAGATATCTTGAATTGAGTTTCAGATAGTCAGAATTATGTTGTAGATATCTCAAACTGGAATTATAGATAGTCATAATGTAATTGTAGATATCTATAATGACAAACCCCATACACATGAATGGCAAAAATAGTTTGAATCTTACTAGTCAAAACTGAATTACAGATATCTGTAACTGTAGTTTTGACTAGTCAGAATGACGTTTCAGATATCTTAAATTAAAATTCATACTAGTCACAATGACATTATAGATATCTATAATAGTAATTCCGGATAATCAAACTTAGTGATTAAATGTTAAAACGGCTTGCCATAGACAGACAGACAGGCACAGGGTGGTGACACGTGGGCCTGACGCTACTGAACAAAAGATCGTTCTCAAGCACAAACATCACTCACGGTTGGTGACGTCATTATTTACGAAACAAACTATTGTTTACAAGAATTCGTCGAAATAAAAAAAACGTCGAAAAAAGAATCTGAAACAGCAAAGTTAAAAGAAAATGAAGCTGTGAACAGAAACACACCCTGACTGCTGCCATCACAACATGTTATAACACACACACACACATGCGCGCGCGCGCACAGCTCACCTGCTGCAGACAGAGAAAACATCCATGTACACACTAACAAAGTCGCAAGTTGCGCCATGATGTGAGCAGAGAGTCGATCCTTCTCCTGACTCATTCCACCCGCACACAGCTGCACAGATCTGTGCATGGAGAGGAGGAGGAGGAGGAGGAGGAGGAGGAAGGAGGAGCATCTTGTAGGACGTCATGCACTCTGAGGAGTCGAGGAGAGAGGAGGACAGCTGATCAGACTGATCTGATACAGATAAAATAAACTCAGCGTGTCACTGACAGGTTTGATATTTGATTTGTTCTGATTCAAAACCTGAACAAGAAAAGAAAGAAATGACTTATTTATTTGTTTATTTATTTATTAGAAACTATCTGTTGTTTCCCTGATCGACCTTTATCAATACAATTAAAGTCAGAGAGTCTGTCAGCAGAAACACTTTCACACTTCCACTCAGTCACACTGAGGCTGAGTGCTGATCACTCCTGAGGCCGGCAGGGATGGGCAGTATTTCTATTACTTGTATTTAATATATGTATTTGAGTATTTTGTAATTTGTATTTGATAAGGCCGATAAAAAGCAAATGTAATCTGTAACTAAATACTTTTGAGTGGAGTAATTTTGTATTTAAAATACTCAAAATACTTTCTCCATGAACCAAAAAACAAAAACAATAGGCTACACATTCTTATAATATTGGATGTAACAATATTTTTTACTTTTTAAATATATTTGTATCTATATGTTTATTTAAACTTGGGCCCTTCAATGACCTAGTGGTCTGTTTTACTGGACTGTGCATCACATAGGAAACTGTATGTTGTTGTGGTTGATGCTTGGGATGAGTCTGCTACAAATGAATTGCCTCACGTGGGATCAATAAAGTGTCTGAATCTAAATCTGAATCAATCAATAATATTTTAGGGTAGCCTACATGTCCCTAACTTTGTTTTCTAGTTTTCATTTGAAACAAGTTGAACACAGGGCTCCAAAGGCTCCAAGTTAGACAGCAAACAAGTGAACTAGCTACAGTAGCTACAGTATGTTGCTGCTGTTCAGCTCGACCGTTGGTGACAGTTCACAGCACAGCTAGACTAGACTTGTCAGGCATGCTGCTCACGTGGATGGACCCACACTACCAGCAGACTACCTTGCTGCTCACGTCTTCCAAGTTCAACAGATTGTCTGTCAAGGTAAATATTTATCTGAGTGTGACAGATGTGAACTGGCTTGATGCATGATTTATGTCTGGGTCTGGCTACATAGCCTATTGTATAAATACATGGGGATGATAGTTATAATATCAAGCTAGCGATGCTTATGCTAATTGTCTAGGTTAGCGCTGCTACAAAGAAAAAGAAAAAAGTATTTTCTGTTTTTGAAAATACAAAATACATGTATTTTATTTTGATACATTTTCTGACACCAGTGTTTTGTATTTTATTTTGATACATTTATTTGAGGGGTATTTTGTATTTTGTATCAAAATACATTTTGATGTATTTTTGCCCATCTCTGAGTGTCGGGTTGATGAGTGACAGAATTTGAATTTTCCCTGAAACATTTGACCTGCATGTTTGTGCTCATCTTATCCACTTTCCGAGCCTGGATACGATCAGGAGGCTGCAGCAGGAGGTGGTGACAGAAAGTGTACAGCACATACAGGCTGCAGACGTTAACACACGGAGGGCTCAGAGGTTTCCGAGGACCTGACATGAAAAGCCCCTACTTCCAGAAAAAGTGCGTTGATTGCCTTACGTCGGACCTTGGACGTAAGCAAACATGCATGCCCGCAAGCAGATTTTTGCTCATTGTTAGCCTTGCTGGCTAAATGAAGAGGTCAAAGACGTTTTGCTAACATACGGTGTTGGCACTGTTCCTAATTCTACGTGTAATTATACAGGGAATATTCAAATTACATGTAGCAGTGGACAATTTGCTTAAAGACGTCTTTGAGATGTATTTTGACTCACTGGTAGTGAAGGGGGCCATTGCTGTAACGTCATGCCACGTCAACTCGGGGTCCTCGGGTTGCTACTCTTCTGCACAACGTTCCGAGCGAAAAATTCCGCTCCGACCACGTGTTCAAAGCACTGTTTCCCTGAGTTAATGGTCGGGACCTTATTACCCACCTCCGACCTTATGAACGCCGCTCAAGGGCCGAGCTGTGACTGAATAAACTGTGTGGGCGTCTTAGTGACATCAGAAGATCGTCTCTTATTAACTTTACACTGCTCTACATAGCTGCAATAATACAGCACATTCTGAATCCCCTCTGCAGCCTATATTTAGTGACAGCCAAACAAAGCCTCATGAACCACTGTCTTTATTTTCTGAGCCCACCAGATGGCGCCCTCTTTTTACACTTTTATAAATGTCAGTGTGTTTCCATTAACACACCTGCAACATCTTCAACATCTCCTGCTCTGCGTCTGCGTCCTGACACAGCGGGGATCAGGAGCTGGCCTCCGGTTTGGTTTTGGTTTAGCCAACACACACACGTGGTTACGTTAAGCCAAAACACACACGTGGTTACATTTAGCAAACACACACATGGTTACGTTTAGCCAATACACACATGTGGTTACGTTTAGCCAACACACACATGGTTACATTTAGCCAACACACACACGTGGTTACGTTTAGCCAACACACACATGGTTACATTTAGCCAACACACACACGTGGTTACGTTTAGCCAACACACACATGGTTACATTTAGCCAACACACACACGTGGTTACGTTTAGCCAACACACACACGTGGTTACGTTTAGCCAACACAAACACGTGGTTACATTTAGCCAACACACACACGTGGTTACGTTTAGCCAACACACACACGTGGTTACGATTAGCCAACACACACACGTGGTTACGTTTAGCCAACACACACACGTGGTTACGTTTAGCCAACACACACACGTGGTTACGTTTAGCCAACACACACACGTGGTTACGATTAGCCAACACACACACGTGGTTACGTTTAGCCAACACACACACGTGGTTACGTTTAGCCAACACACACACGTGGTTACGTTTAGCCAACACACACACGTGGTTACGATTAGCCAACACACACACGTGGTTACGTTTAGCCAACACACACACGTGGTTACGTTTAGCCAACACACACACGTGGTTACGTTTAGCCAACACACACACGTGGTTACGATTAGCCAACACACACACGTGGTTACGTTTAGCCAACACACACACGTGGTTACGTTTAGCCAACACACACACGTGGTTACGTTTAGCCAACACACACACGTGGTTACGTTTAGCCAACACACACACGTGGTTACGTTTAGCCAACACACACACGTGGTTACGTTTAGCCAACACACACACGTGGTTACGTTTAGCCAACACACACACGTGGTTACGTTTAGCCAACACACACACGTGGTTACGTTTAGCCAACACACACACGTGGTTACGTTTAGCCAACACACACACGTGGTTACGTTTAGCCAACACACACACGTGGTTACGTTTAGCCAACACACACACGTGGTTACGTTTAGCCAACACACACACGTGGTTACGTTTAGCCAACACACACACGTGGTTACGTTTAGCCAACACACACACGTGGTTACGTTTAGCCAACACACACACGTGGTTACGTTTAGCCAACACACACACGTGGTTACGTTTAGCCAACACACACACGTGGTTACGTTTAGCCAACACACACACGTGGTTACGTTTAGCCAACACACACACGTGGTTACGTTTAGCCAACACACACACGTGGTTACGTTTAGCCAACACACACACGTGGTTACGTTTAGCCAACACACACACGTGGTTACGTTTAGCCAACACACACACGTGGTTACGTTTAGCCAACACACACACGTGGTTACGTTTAGCCAACACACACACGTGGTTACGTTTAGCCGACACACACACGTGGTTACGTTTAGCCAACACACACACGTGGTTACGTTTAGCCAACACACACACGTGGTTACGTTTAGCCAACACACACACGTGGTTACGTTTAGCCAACACACACACGTGGTTACGTTTAGCCGACACGCACACGTGGTTACGTTTAGCCGACACGCACACGTGGTTACGTTTAGCCAAAACACACACGTGGTTACGTTTAGCCGACACGCACAGGTGGTTACGTTTAGCCAAAACACACACGTGGTTACATTTAGCCGACACGCACACGTGGTTACGTTTAGCCAACACACACACGTGGTTACGTTTAGCCGACACGCACATGTGGTTACGTTTAGCCAAAACACACATGTGGTTACGTTTAGCTGACACGCACACGTGGTTACGTTTAGCCAAAACACAAACGTGGTTACGTTTAGCCGACACGCACACGTGGTTACGTTTAGCCGACACGCACACGTGGTTACGTTTAGCCAAAACACAAACGTGGTTACGTTTAGCCAAAACACACACGTGGTTACGTTTAGCCAACACACACACGTGGTTACGTTTAGCCAAAACACACACGTGGTTACGTTTAGCCAACACACACACGTGGTTACGTTTAGCCAAAACACACACGTGGTTACGTTTAGCCGACACACACACGTGGTTACGTTTAGGACAAAAGAACAGGGTCTGGCTTTACAGTTTTACAGGAAGTGAAGTCCCTCCTGCCGACCCTACTCACATGTTCGCTTGCTTAACTTACATTGTTGACGCTGCTGGGTGCTGTTACACAATAACGCTGACCAGCAGCGAATCATGCTGATGTCAACGGACGGCTATTTTCATTGGTGCCTGGTGCTGGAAGTCACTGATAAAACACCAGTATTCAACTGGTGTAAACAGGACCTCAACATCATGACACTCAGTGTTCAGGTGCCAACTTTAACAACCCTCCTGGAGTGTTTTCAGCTCATCTTCCTCGTCAAAGTGTTTTTTGTTATTGTGTTTAACCAGATCCTCTGTGCTAATAAACCTAACTAACTGACCTATTTTCTTGCTGACTGCCTCAGAGAAAACCACGCAGCTAGAGAGGTTACATACAGAGAGGAAGTGGGCGGGGTTATGTGCTCTGACAGAAAACTTCTGAGAACAGTTGTTACATGACGAGGATGGAGAATGAAGCGAACATCTCCTCTGCTCCGTAAGTACATCTGAGCTGCATTTCAATTAATGTACATATCTGTGTTGAATGATTGACAGCGTGGTTCATATTTGAAGGGTTTGAAAACTTTTTACTATTTAAAGGTTTTTTGATCAGCATGGGGGAAAGTCTGTAAAAGTAAAAACTAAAAAACATGACTGACCGATATAATGAGCAAACAGGCAGAAAGATCCACTCTTTAAAAGTTTAGACAGACTGATCTTCATAATTATTGCACAAGCACAATGAAATCTGACGGCCTTCCTATATAAAACATCACACCTTTGCTCACAGGTTATGTTGCACTTTACGCTGATGGGTGAGACTCAAGTTTTGCACGAAGAGTTCACAGTGTGCTTCATAAATCTAAAGTCAGGTAAATTATATTCTGATGGTCAAAATCCTAATTTCATAAATATCAAGAAGATATCACAACAAAAATCAGTTGCATGGGAATCACCTTGATAACCACAGTAAACTTACTCTACTTGTTTACTCACTTTAACAGGAGGTAAAGAAGTTACAACATTGACCACACAGCTTATTAAACTATCTAACATCACACATTTGATGGACGACACTGCAGCTACAGTGTTAAAATCAATTGGATTTACATTCCCTTGTCCACGTCACTAAAGGCCCTGACACACCAAGCCGACAGTCGGCCGTCGACCAAAGTCGGAGCTTGTCGGTGAGAGAGATCACTCTGATTGGCTGTTCAGGTTTTATTTCCTCGCCCCTGTAGCGAGTGAATCTGCCTGTAGTGAAACCGGGGCTAACCGGTGCTTCCTCCTCAGGCTCCACTTCACTCAGCTGCCCCACAGACCCGCTGCTTCTTCACACTTTAACCTGAATAACAAACC